ATATATGCATATATGTACAGTACATAAGGATGTCTGTGTCTGTATATGTTTATACACACACACACACACATACAAATACACACACTCACTCACTTCTGAATGAAGCATTATCCATGTATGTTTATATAAATACATGTATAAATCAATAAATTAATAAATAGATAACCACACATATATAAATATGAATATGTATATACATATTTATCTTTCTCTATGGGTGTATAGTATGTATGTATGTTTGTTAAGTCTGTTCGTGTAAAAGCCTTAATTTAGTTTAGACATGAGATTAAAAACCAGATAAATAGGATTTGTGTCTTGCATTCGGTCACCAGCGTGAGGGGAATAGGAGGGGGGGGGAGAAAGATGAAGAGGAAGAGGAAGGAGGAGGGAGGAGGAGGAGGAGGAGGAGGAGGAGGAGGAGGAGGAGGAGGAGGAGGAGGAGGAGGAGGAGGAGGAGGAGGAGGAGGAGGAGGAGGAGGAGGAGGGGGAGAGGAGGAGGAGGAGGAGGAGGGGGAGAAGGAGGAGGAGGAGGAGGAGGCGGAGGAGGAGGAGGAAGAGGAAGAAGGGAAAAGGGAGAGGGAAGGTTCTTTCGCCATGGCTCGGTGGTATTGGAGAGGAGGTGGGGAGGAAGGGAGGGGGGAAGGGGGAGGTAATGAGCAGGAGGGGCGCATCACCACCTCGTAGGAGAGGGCGAGGGGAGAGGCATGACGTCACGACTCGCCCCCGGACCGAAGTGAGGACGAGTGGGCGAAGCGGCGGGGGTCCTTCTCTCGCCTCGTTCTAGCTTCCCCCCCCTGCGAGGACGGGCGGAGGTGGAGTTGGCCCTTCCCACTCGGGTGTCCGCGGGGGGGAGGGAGAACGAGGGCAGGGAGGGTCACTTCGACAGGAAACCCCCGTTGGTGTACTGGTGAGCACACGCCCTCGACACGGTGCTGATCTCGTGGTCGTCCTCGGGGGGGTCGGGGAGGTCCCTGCTGGCGGTGCTCGTGTCGAGGGCGCCGTCGTGACCCCCCAGGTGATCGTTGATGGCGGGGATGTAGACCCTCGTGGTGTGGAGGGTCCCAGGGGAGCCCGAAGCGGGGTGGTCGTTCGGGGTCACGGCGGACGGAGCGAGGTCGTCCTGGGTCCCGACACACGCGTTCACTCGGTTGTACGTCTGGTTACACCGTGATCTCTGGCCCCTGGTTGGGATAAGGTTTGGTTTGTCATTTATATCTATATCACTTTCTCTTTCTCTCTCTCTCTCGCTTTCTTTCTCTCTCTCTTGCTTTCTTTCTCTCTCTCGCTTTCTTTCTCACTCGCTTTCTTTCTCTCTCTCGCTTTCTTTCTCTTTCTCGCTTTCTTTCTCTTTCTCGCTTTCTTTCTTTCTTTCTCTCTCTCTCCTCTCTCTCACTATCTCTTTCTTTTTCTCTTTCTCTCTCTCGCCCCATCCTCTCTCCTCTCTCTCTCGCCCCCCTCCTCTCTCTCTCCCTCTCTCTTCCTCTCCTCTCTCTCTCTCTCGCCCCCCCTCCCTCTCTCCTCTCTCTCTCTCTCTCGCCCCCCCCCCTCTCCTCCTCTCTCTCTCTCTCACTATCTCTCTCGTTCTCTCTCGTTCTCTCTCTTCTCTCCCTCCCTCCCTCCCTCCTCTCTCTCTCTTTCTCTCCCTCCCTCCCTCCCTCTCTCCTCTCTCTCTCTTTCTCTCCCTCCCTCCCTCCTCTCTCTCTCTTTCTCTCTCTCCCTCCCTCCCTCCTCTCTCTCTCTCTCTCTTTACTTATCTATGTAAGTCTAGAATTTTATAAAAGAAAAAGATAAAGCCTGAACATTCTCATTACATTAGACATGCAAAACAAAGAGAAACAAATAAACTTAAATGTGTTAATAACTGATCATCTAAACATGCTAATATAATAAAATCAAAGAACAGAAAAATAAACAAACAAAAAAATAAAAATATTTACAACACACAAACACAAAAAGCCACAAAACAATAAAAAAAAACTAAAAACTAGAAGCTAAACAAAAAAAAAAAGAAAAGAAAAGAAAAAGGAAGGGAAAACAAGGAAACAAAACAAAACAAAGAAAAACAATTAAGCCCATCTACCATTATACTGTTTTCAGTGCGTGTTATACATGTTGTGGTGCGCAGGACGAGAATTCCAAAGCTCTACTGCAAATTGCTCCGGAACGCGAGTTTCTCTGACGGTGGAGAAATTCGAACGAAAAATGATGTGCATTTTATTTCCCTGTCGTCTGGCATGCAAGCTGGGGTTTAATCATGGGGAGTGTGAATCATTTCCATTGTGAAGCATAAACGGTGAACATTTATTGAGCTGCACTAAGTATGTGTGTTCTGAAAAAGCTGAATAAAGTGTAATGTTGGGCTCCTTGCTTGTGTGTGTGTGTGTGTGTGTGTGTGTGTGTGTGTGTGTGTGTGTGTGTGTGTGTGTGTGTGTGTGTGTGTGTGTGTGTGTGTGTGTGTATGTGGTGTGTGTGTGTGTGTGTGTGTGTGTGTGTGTGTGTG